TTAAAAATGAAGCTGGCTGGCTTAAGCAGGGCAATGAAAATAATCCTCTTGCGTCTTGTGAGCGCCTTTGAAACGTGTGGGAGTGCCGAGATTAGAGCCCCAGTTACCCAGTGCTGAATGGCACTGTCTCCTGGAAAGGCAGGAGCTGCTTTGTTTCAGGAGGGCTCTGGCTAACGGCAGTAATTGCTCTTCAGCCGAGTGGCTGGCAGAGCAATGTGAAAAGTGTGACATCCCTGTTAATTAATTCCCCACATTGAGGAAAGATACGTTTTTGATTCAGGGTTACAAGCAGCGGAAAAAAAAAAGATTGCGCTTCATCTTCAGTGGGATTAAGAGCTTATTGCCGATTTGGTTGTTTTCTATGTATGTGTGTCTATTAGATTGGGTAATCACATCATTACCTCCTCCATGTGTTTTTTTTTTTTGGATCTCAGCCTTGGAAAGTCCCAGCCTAATAAAGCCCACTACCCTTTGAACTGATACTGAAACTGATGGAGTTCATCGTGTTTTGTCTGCACAGACCCTCTCCAGTCCTGCAGTATATGGAGAGTGCACAAGTTTGGAAAAAGAGACGTTTTCCTGATTCTGAAACATAGTTTGACTTACCTGTGAGCTCCAGAGTGCTTCAGGTTGGTCATATACCTAATTCTTATAAAACAATCCTGCCTTATAATTAATAATGAATTTGTTTCTTGTCCCATCTGGACATGCACATGAAAAAATGTAGTTCAAACACCAATGAAAAGATCAAAGAGGTTTGGACAAACTATATTTCCTGAAATAAACAAATTGCTTTACATTATTTAAGAGTGAAATTGCAGAGTGGATAAAGTATTTACTGTCTAATTTGGTTACACCTTGGGGGCACAAAGGTATCTCCCGGATGGAAGAAATGCAATTTCACAGTGGAACTCCAACAAGGCAGAGATTACGACCTTCACTGCACTATGAAGCTGCTTGTAGTTTTTGCACCATTTTCATAACGCAGGTGGTGAGTGACATTGTCACCCCGTGACGTAAAATTCGCGCTTGTTATGTACCGTGTCACCAGCAGGTCAGAGGCCTGGCCAAGCTGATCCTGCAATAGGATGACATTGCTCAAAGATAGGGGAAGAACTGACTGCTGATTGCAACTTACACAACAAAACTCTCTGTCTTCCCGAGGGTGTGTGCTGAAGCTATTGGTCTTATCTAGAGTTTTGTTCAGTGGTTAAAGTCAAATAGCTATGTAAATCCAGCCCTTGTTACCTTAGTGTAACTAACTCTGTATTGTAATGTGTGTAGAGTGCTTAATGGCACCTGATAACTTATCAAAGGTGTCCAATGCAAAGACATTGCTGCTAAGATGTCTATTTAAATGTATTTGAAATGAGCTTGAACTGCATTTCTTAAAGGAGTGACTAACCACAGGCTGACAAAATCTGAATTTTGCAATCCGTTCTTGTTAAAACATTTTGTATCTAGATGACTTCGAAAGACAGCCTTTTCTGTCCAATCTGGGATTGCAAATTCCGGCCTTCTTTTCTAAAGCCCCTCCTTATTTCAGTTGGCTAAACCATTTGTCACTTCATGTTATCCATTATGGTGCAGAATGGCCACTGTGTGACTCCCAGGTGGGGCTGCTGGTATGTCACCCAGGTGGGACTCTAGTGAGGAATGAAGTGGCTCCCCCTCCTGTACATTTAAAGTGCTTTAAGACAAACATCGGATAAAAAGCACTATATACAGTGTATGCAAAGAGCTTTTATTATTTAACATATCCTCGTTTGGGTTGTACAGAAATATTTAACTTTTACTGCTTTCTCGGGTCTGTAGTCCAATGTGGTTACTTGCTTAAGTTCTTTGCATTTTTCTTTCTTGTTCTTTTTAAGTTCTTTGCATAAAGCCATGTTTTTTGCCATTCAATGTCTTCTTTTAATGTTTTTTGCAGTGTTCTGCAAAATAAACAATATACACCACGTAATGTGATATTTTGAAGCAGTTTCAATGAAGTTTTCTCATTGTCGTGAACAAAGACCGAAGGTGTTTAATTTCTTCATGACAAGAACATCAGAGATCACAGGTTTCTCTGTTTGTTTGCCCCTCAAAAGGAACTTTGAAATGCCTTTTCAGATGCTCTTCAGGAGCAGGACCCATTCCAAGCATTGTCATGCAGAGAACATATGATAAGCATGAACAGTCATCTCCCTGTTGCAGTGCAGGATCCCTCAGGTTACCCAAGCAGAAAGGGCTGTGTCCGAGGGTGTGCTGGACCTGCCAGTTCAAATTCCACTCCCTCAGGTTAAACACTGTTGTCTTATCGGCAGCCACACCCACCCACTCGCCCTCCCTCCTTCCCTGCCCCCTGGGGGCCGGAAGTGCCCGCTTCACATTCCTGCCTCTCCGTGTCTGGCTCGCCCGGTCCCACCGTGCCAGGGTGGCGTGGCAGTGCGAAGAAACGCCTGACGTCTGCCTGGCGGCTGAGCTCGGGCAGCCTGTTTCTCCACCCCAGAGTCCCAGGGCTTCCATAGCCCTCTCTCGCAGCCTCGCCCCTCAGCACGCTGGCCTCACTCTCCGATGAGGCAACGCACCTGCCGAGTGACAGCCCTCCCCACACACACGTCCACAGAAATGCGCAAGACGTGGGGGCAGAGGAGTCGGGCTGGATTCCTTTTATCCTTCCTTTTCCCATCCTGCACCCCGCCCTCTCCCCAAGTCCATTAAAGTAGGAGTTTCTTTTAATCCACTCAAGAGAATTATCTGCACTGAAATTACAGGCCCGGCATCTGTCTCCATGCTTTTAAAAAGATAAGAAAATGGCTTTCCTCCATATAAAACATTTCATTCCTCCATTTTCTTAAAGGTCCTTAAAAGTTCACAGCTGCATTCAGGTTAGGTTTCGGTTTTGTCATTGTGGAAAGTGAAGTCTGAAAAACGCACAGATAACATTAAAAAGGATTTATTCTGCACTCCTTCATTTAAAGAGATAAAGAGATCTGTGCATGACTCAGTGTTTCACTGATCATGACTAGTTATTGTGCATTTAATTTTGATTCATATTGGTCTCTAAGTTTGTCATTACCCACAGAATCTGATTTTAATGTTTGTATTTTACATTTCCCTAAAATATAGTGATTAGTGTATTTAATGTGGTGTTTTTATTCTGTTGTTCATTTCCTTATTGCTGAAACAATGTGGTCGTTTGGAGGAACGTGTTGTACTTCCTGTTTTGAGGAGAGAGCACTTTATTGTTCATTTTCCTTATTTTCCATTTGGGCCTGAAGTCCCAGCCCTGTGCATCTCGTGGCGTGCCATGAACCTCAGGAATTCCGCAGTATCCCAGTCAAATAAGTGGAATACAAACCTCAGTGAGGCCACTCAAGCTCTTCCAGTCCGCACTGCAAAAAGTCCTTTTCAGCATTGGAAGCAGATGTCAGCCATGCCAAAAGGTGTTTTTCTATTGCAGAAGACAACACTGCAGCACAAAGACTTAATTTCATTTGTTACAGTAGATCATGTTGTCTCATAATTTAGTGTGAATGAACAGTTTGCCAGAAAGATCTGTGGTTAAGTTCCTGACCATGATCTTTCGATATCACCATCAAGGAGTCCACACAGAGGCAGTGTCCCAGGCTGCAGGGTCCTGTGTCTCCTGGGTTTTCTTCCAACCTGATTAGTCAAGGTTTTTTTTCTAAATTAGACATATACAGGACCTTTCCAAAGGTCCTGAACAGTTCATTCCCCAAGACATTCACTATATTAAAGGTACGATTATCTATAAATCATCACAGAGCCACAGCCAGTTTAGAAGTATTACAATTATGTAGCTAATTAAAAATTGGTCGAATTAATGTAATTAAGAATGCGGGTAGATGACAACCCAGAAGACACGAGGCCTTACACTTATTGAATTTCTGACTCCTGGCCTTAAACTGAAAGGTATTGTACATTTTCCTGCCAGTTTCTCACGTGAGTTTTCCCTAGGACTGTCCACTTATGCTGAAATGGTGGGGCCAGTGCCCTTCTCAGTAGAGCTGCCTTCTTCCTGCTGAAGTGAGCAGGTCTCTTTATCAATCGAGCTCACTAAAGAATGACCGTAGAAGAAGAGCTTAATGATCAGTCATGGATCCAGAATAATAGTTATTGTTTTTGTTTATCTGCTTGGCCCAGAATGCTATGACAGTACAACGCATTACTTCATTGTAGAGACACATTCTAGTTTCATAATACAGAAAGAAAACATTCCCTCCACTCAGAGGGAGACAGGTCTGTTGATATAGACTTTTGAACAAACACTGTACTGAATAGAGAAAACAGGAAAAGAAACAGTTGGAGCTATTTTAATCATGCAGATCGAATTACCTCCATTCTCACTCCCTCCCGTTGTTTTTGTCCTCTATGTAATGTGCTAACTATATACCTGTTTGCGACATTTCTGTCTTTGCAGAGAAATCCCCAGTATCTGGTGTAAAATATAGTGTTCTGTACTTGCGTTCATTGTTGCCCAATATAGTGAATAGTCCAGCTTACATTTCAAGACCAAGATATGCTAATAATATGTGATAGATTAAAATCAGTGGAGCAAGCCAGGCAGGCTTTTCTTGACTGACCAAAAATGGTTCAGCATTAATTTGTGTATTTAAAAGCTCAATTTGGGTGTCATCATGCTGCTGTCGTGCAGTGTTACATTGTAGCTGTGTTGTATTTTTGTCAAGTTATCTGTGCAGCTGATATCTTTGTTAGCAATTGGAAAGGGAATGTGTTTGTGTTATCTTCAACATGTATTTGAGAAGTGTGCAATTGATTTGTATTGTGGGCACGTGACAGTTGGTGTAAAAGCCTGTGGTGTGTGAGTGTGTGGCTGGACATGCACTGTTTTGTGTGTAATGTGTGGTTTAGTGTGTTTTTTCCGTGAGGCAGTATTGTCAGCGTGCAGTGCGAGTGAGCATAGCAGTGCTATTTTCAGCTGTGACTGTGCTGTGAGCTGACAGTAAAGACTCTTTCTTTCTTCTCACCATCAGCGCGCTGGGAGGGTCCTCAGCACTCCATATCCCAGCATTCCCCGGGGGCGGCTGCCTCATTGACTATGTACCTCAGGTCTGCCAGTTGCTCACCAACAAGGTAAGAAGACGTGATACCGTGTGTGAGGTTAGAAATATGGACAGCTGGACATTGATGACTGCTGTTAACTGATCCAATCACTTCGCCAAGTTATTTCTTTTAAGTCTCAAGAAAATGAGGATCCAGAGCCTGACTGACAGTTTATTTTTTTCTTTCCATCTGCAATATGAATCAATCAAATTTACGTTTGCCACAGTTACCACATACGATCAATGAAATACTCATACATGCTCAATTCCGATAGATTTTTAGTTTTTGCCCTCTGGAAGTGAAATTCATGTTGCACGGGGGACCTGTACAATTCCAGAGGGAGAGCCATACAGAATCCCATAAAGGTAATCATTTTGTACAGAAGGAGTTCAAACACATGTCCTAGGGTGTGATTCTATGTGATTCTGTTTCTATCTGCGCAGTATGGCACTGCTGTGAGACAGTGTGGGCAGTAGATTGAGATTCTACACTCTCTAGTCGCTGGAGCATCTCTGTGTGTGTAAAGGAGAGTTGGGTTTTAACAACTGTGTGGAAATGTCCATGCTGTACTCTGTCCTATGTGTAGTCCCTGCACACGCAGATACAGTGTTTTTCACAGCTTTCACCTGAATGCCTCACTAATTTATTTTGATTGATATGGCTGCTGCTTTTATCAAGAGCAACTTACATTTGTACCCATTCCCCCAGCTGGGTATTTTACTGGACCTAGATGGGTAAATTAATTTTTGCAAGGGTACAACAGCAGTGTCTCATCTGGGATTCAAGCCCACACCCTGTGACGGTCATGTTGGGTCCTCTTACTCATCTTCCATGTGCAGACAACTGCAGCTCACAAGCCTTCGACTCTCTTCTCATCGCTGCAAGTCTTGTGATCCCTTGGGATGTAAAAATGTTGTATAAATGCAATTCATTATAAATAACAAGGCTTGTACTGATGTGCCTTGCCTAAATGGAGCAGTTAGGAAAGTGGAGTTCAGTCTCTAATTTACCAGACTGCTCTAAAATTGCACTGAGAGAACTAAACCTATCTTAAGTGGAGCTGGAATGTACAGATAAATTCAACCTTTCTGTGCTTCCACACATGATGACGAGTGCAGAGAATATGACACAAATTATCCAACAAGATTCATAGTACACAGCCTGTTACAGTCAGGCATTTAAAAAATGCATATCCTGTGCAGCTACTCACCTAATTTGTGCTGATCTGACATCTTCCCACTCATTACTCCTGGATGATTTGCATTCCACTGTGTAAATTGTTCGACTGCGAGGTAATAGGTGTGTTCTGCAGTGTTCCTAGAATTCTAAGGGTCCTAGAAAAGAGGAAAGTATCTGCAGTTATGAAAGAAACGGGATGTTATCTGCCCACTCACGCCATTGCACTCTCCCCTTTCTTTTCACAATCACTTTTACATTATCCTTCTTTTCTTTCAGAGCTTTAGGGAAGTCATGTTCTCCACTCAGATAAATACCTTTGCAAATACCCGAGTGTTCTCTCAGATATCATCACGCTCGGCCTCGACAGATCCCAATCACAGGACATCTGTACCGTCTTAAATCTGTTCTTCATGCCCGTCACTGTCTACTGTACGTATCAGCCTCCTGTGCTTCTCAGTTTAGAAACTGGTCTTGTTTTCTGCACTGACCCTGGGACCACATTCACCCCGGGTTCTATGTGGTTTTTCCACCCCGGTAATGTGGCACCTCCATGTCTGATGGTCTTCATAAAGACATAAGAGATACATAAAAGAGGAGGCTGTTTGTCCCATCTAGCCCGTTTGGGTTCAGCGGATTCAGTTATTCTCAAACCTTAATGGAACTAAAAATTTGCATTATTTTCTCATTTCACTTGTTACCATCTTCTTAAATGCTGTTGACTTCAAGCAGATTCTGAAAACTCGTTTGCCACTTTTTGAAGGTGTTCTTAAATGTCAAGCTTTTTGAGAGCTTAAATAATTAAGGATTAAGAATATGTAATAGAGAGTTAATTTGGAAAGGAAACCTGAAGACACACATCTGGAAAACTAGTGTTAAAAACCCTGTTGCTTCTTTCCTAAAACCTTCCTTGTTATATAGAGACTGCTAATATAACTGATTCTTGTACTACTCGTTGATCAAAAATGTAACTCTAATGCTTTTTTTTTACAACCACAGCAATTCTTTATCTTTTTCCAATAATGCGTGTGCTTTAAACATGCATTTATGTACAGTACAAGTGGTCTTTGCTCGACTTGGCAAGTTTCTGTTCCTGTGTGGTAGAACTGTGTCAGCTCTGTTCTTTGTCGGCGTACGTCATAGTGCTGACTGCTCACCAACAGCAATAACCTCTGCAGGATCGTCAAAGAACAAGATCTGATTCCTACGAAATAACACACCTGCCAGAAGAGAATTGTGCACGAGCTAATCTGTCTCTCAGAACATGTGGCCACTGTTTTACCTTTTATACTTGAAATAAATATTTCTACAGCAATTCCAATTGAACAACAATTCCCCACTGACACTGACAATGAATGATGGTTGGATGGTGAGGTGTGGGTACGTTATCAAGCAATAAAATATGTTCACAAATAAAGAATGTTTGTTTGGATGAACATGGTTTTAACATGTTCAGACTTGTTTACATCGCCCTGTAATATAAAGATTTGTCTTACATAATCACTACATTTTTTTTTTGTAATGTGAGTATCTTGTAAGTTAGCTGCAGAATCTATCTAAATATGGGGTTCGGTATTGCAGTAGAAGAATCTGACATTCAAGACATATTAGTGAATTTATAGCAAAGTGGCGTTAATGGAGGTTTTGAGGTTTCTCGACCAGTGTCAGGGTGTTAGAATTGTTCCCTTATTCACCCATCAGATGACCAGTGATGGAAGAACCATTCTCACGGGCTGTTCAAGGAAGTCATCAATGTAACTACTGTACAATGTCCTTTTAGTCCTTTTACCTTTTCCAATAGGTACGCAAGCTTTCACAACCTAAATTTACCAGCTGAGAGGCTTTAATAAAATATGAAAGGACTGTTCCTGCACATTAGATGGAAAAAAAGGTAGCACAATTTGTTGATTCTGATAAGATCGGCATGTTGCACACCTGTTTGCGGTGCAGTGGGCATTGACACAAGCAAATGATAAGAGGCTGTAGCCAGGAGTTCAGATACCCTGGCTTGGCTCTGTTTTTGTTGTAGTGTTTTACTAGAACCTCAACATTGCAAAAGAGGAGATAGGAGAACCAAACATGCTGTCCTGTGGCTGAATTGTAGCTTAGTCATCATGTCTTAAGAAGGGAATAGTGTAGATTATGTCCCCCGGAGGGCTGGGTAGTGTTAGCTGTCCAGTTGAAGAGAGAAGACTGTCTCAGAGGCTAACTGGAATGGAGTGCTAACATTCTTTCATTATAAAACACTTCATGATGTAGTTTGCTTCCAAACATGCCTGTTGCACATACTACACCACCAGTTAGCTTTTGGACCATGCCGGATATTTTCTTCCTGGAATGTGTCCTCCTGGCTTTGTGGATCTGCACTGCTAATGGCAGCTCCGAACGACAGCTCCAGCTCCTAAATTCTCAGAAATCTTGTGTGTTTCTCTTCACTGTATTTTGACATTTTAATCTGATAAATTGCGTCCTTTATCAAAATAACATACATTTTTCTTGTCTTAAGCAGTCCCTTGTTTAAATGCTCTAACTGCATTGTTTTTCGCTGTTGTGTCACTGAAGGGCAGGGAGCCCTAACACAGGCATCATTTTACAAAAAGCACTGGAACATCACGTCATAGTGAACTCCATCTGATGTTCTGACATCGTGTATTTCGGTACAATTCAGAAACAAGGGGTCCCTGCAGGCTGGGGTGATTCTCTTACTTTGAGACGTTGTCCCATCTGGCTGCAGAGAGATCAGGAGTAGGAGAAGAGGCATGTGGACACTGACTCAAAGTTTTCAAGATTGTGAGGCTGATTCTCACAATGACAAATATTCTGTCTTTATTAGTCATTTAGCTTATTGGAGAGGATAACTAATGTCTGCTTGAAAAAATCCTTTATTTTGCAGTTAGGTAAACTCCCTGAAACTCAGTACGTGCTTCAGCCCCTGGGATAGAGCTTCCTTATCAATCAATTTTTGATTCAAACTAACGGAAAGCTCGAAAATATCTTGTCCATCTTGAAAAACAACATGTTTGCATCACATCCAGTAGATTCATCACAGTTTTGAGGTCTATGTTGCATTATGTTTTTTCTAGAAAATCACCTTTCTAACGGTTGATAGTTTTTACATTGATAAACAGATCCGGGGGATCGTCATCATCAGTCCAGTGCAGGACATGAGGCTGTTAGCTGTGAGACTTTACCTTTCTGTAATCCCCACTCTTTTTAGTGGTATAGGCCAAAACGCTGTGGAGAATCCAAAAGCATGTCCTGTGGATTAGAAACACCTCTGTCTGCCTGGGCCAAGCACTCCCTGTGAGGAGCAAAGCTGTGCTGTTCACAGACTGATCAGCTCCTGCCTGACTCCTGTCTCTCTCTCTCTCTTTCTCTCTCTCTCAGGTGCAGTATGTCATCCAAGGCTACCACAAGCGGAGAGAGTACATTGCTGCCTTCCTGAGTTACTTTGGGATGTGAGTATGCTCTAGAATGGGATTACTGGACTTGGTGCATATATGTGTCTTCACACAATTCCCACAAGAGTGTTTCAGGAGGATAGTAAAGTGTGACAGACTCTGTCTGTGTCTGTGTGGATTGCTGTACAATGACAGAGTGTGTTTTCTCAGGGAACAGGACTGGGGGCTCTTCAGTAACCCCCATATGTGTGTGTGTTTTCTCAGGGATCAGGAGTGGGGACTCCTCAGTAACCCCAATGTGTGTGTGTTTCAGGGGTGTTGTGGAGTATGACGCAGAGGGCTTCACCAAGCTCACCCTGCTCCTCATGTGGAAGGACTTCTGCTGCCTGGTTCACAGTGAGTGCATCCCACACCTACAGCTCACCACAGGCCAGTCTTTCAGCCCCCTCTCCAACACTGTCTTAATCCCTGCTGGACGTAAGAGATTTCCAAAGAAAGACACTCAAGGGAAAAACATCTGTATTCTTTTCCACCAGCAGAGAGAGAGCACCTATTGTAGAAGTGTAGATTAACAGATAGTGTTTTCTGTCAGAAAGACCCATCAAGTCCAAAGCCACATTGAAGTGTCTGGTTTATTCAAGGCTGTCAGAGAAGGTGACAGGGCTGATCAAGTTATTGTTTTCTAGGCGTGTCACAAGATACTGATCTTCAGTCTTAATTCTTACCCGCAAGGATGGGTAGAGTTGGTGTTGTAATAGGTAACACCCCTCAGGATTGACAGGCTTCAGTGGGTGGAAATGAACGCCCTTTTCTGAATGGTGCACAGCCAGATAGCGCCTCCTCTATCATGTGTGCTAGAGAGGAAAATATTAACCTCTTCCCTCCTGGAATTTAGCGTGAAATCAGATGTTGCGTGGAATAATTTTTAAAGATTAGAAAAGGCAGGTGACCCTGGAGTGAAGTGAAGGTTATGTCCAAGTGTTCAGTGTGAGTCACACACAAAGCTGATCTGTGGTGAAGACAGAAGCAAGAAAGGAGAAAACAAGTTGCGTGACTTTAGCTTTAACACTGACATCTGAACAGCACTGCCGCCTGCACTGCGGGTTAGTGCCAGCACTGGTGTTCAGAGCACCTATATGGCTTTTCAGGCCGAGTTCAGCCTCCACAGTGTTGACTGTGCGCAGGTTTTCTCGAACAGGAAGCTCTTCTCTACACAAAGGGTTCTGGGAAGCTGATTCCCTGGCTTCTTTTTTTAAACAGATGAATGAGTTGCCTGGGTCAATTAACTACTAACTACCAAAAAGGTTAGATGGGGGCTGAATGCCCTCCTCTCGACTGTAGCCATTCTTACATTTATAAAAGCGATACAAAAGCATGTTGATTCCTATTACATTACCTGGCTAAAGGCACTGCCCAGATGAATAACTCATGAGGATGAGAGTATAATTAGATTCAGAACTAAGGCACAGATAGGGCACATATTTCTCCTGTTTTGTTGAGGTTTTGGATGCTCAGCCCCCAGCCCTTCCCTTCCAGAATGAAATCTGCTGATGGTTTCGGAAAGCAAGGCCACTGCTTTGAATAAGCAAGTGGTAAGTTCCACTCGTCAGGTTGCCCGTGTGCTCTCTCAGTATGCAACACGTGTCCCAGCAGCTCGCTGGTCTCTCTCTCTCTCCCACCCTGCTGGAAGCCGTAGGTGTTGGACCTCAGCAAGGGACTTTTAAAATGCCTTTTGCTCCAGGCGACACTGGTTGTGCCAAGTTGGAGCACATCGTGCCCGTCTTTCCCACCATTTTCAAACAACTGTGTGGCATGCCTTGGGGCAGGGTGTGATAAACAGGACGTCCTGGTAAAACAGACAGGCCAAGCAGTCGTACAGTAAAGGGAAAAGGCTGTTCTATTTACAGTGTAAGAAACAAAACTCAAAAACCAAACCAAAACACACAAAAGCCCAAGCTTCTCTTTGTAATTCTGACTCTATGAAGTCTTCCTTCTCTCTCTGTTATAACTGTCGGGTAAATAAGCCTCTTACCAGCTCCAAAACATCATGTCTTTATTTAAAACTCGAATGTGCGTACAACCATTTGCTCGATCAATTGCATCCTTCATTCCTCTGGTGCCATTTGCTTAAAAGAGGATTTGCTTTTTGTCCCCAGACAGCACGTTAATGACAGACTCCAAAAGCCACCGCTTACTGTTTTTTAAACAGTCAACCGACCAATTGTCTTATTCTCACCGGTCAGGTCACTGAGGATGGCAGGTCATTCCCAGCCCCACAACCTTCTGGGAAATGTAGTTCAGACAAGGAGCCTCTTAGACACTACCTCCCTCCCTTCATGATGTTGTTTTACAGAACATGCTGCTTTGCTTTGCACTGCTGCTAATCAAGTTATTTACTACATCTTCGATGTCCAGTAAAAACAGAATTTCTGTAAATATGAGGCACTAAAATGCAGTTCAGTTTTCTTAGGACAACTTCTCCTTGTTGCACTAGAAGCTTTACAGAGATGGTCAGGTTGTCTGTGCTTTCAAAGCCTTTTTTGCAGGGCAAGTCGAAATACAAATGTATTCGTTTATTAAATGTGTCTTCTGTCAAGTTCCTTCATTGGCAGGGGCTGTCAGATCAAGTGCCAGTTCCTAATATTTCTGATTTCAATAAGAAAGTTAAATTACAAATCACCTGGGTCATAATGAACTCCCAGTCAAATACGTTCACTGAGGGGTCTGGGACAAGACATAATATTTACTTAGAAGTATAGAAGTGCACTCCTATTGTAATCTCCCAAACATGAACAAAGTAAAAAAAAAACCTGCTTTAACAAATACTGGAATTTTCTAACCACACACCATCCACAGAGCCAGTGCCTTTGCTGAGAGATCCGACAGGCAGTTTGAACAGCTGTAGCTCTTGCTATATATTTTTTTTTTTATCTTCCGGAATAATTTTTTCCATTGCTGGCTGTAAGGCTGACCTCCCTGGATTCTTTCACACACTCCTGTGAATGAGTGAGACTGAGCCAATCAGAGGCAGTCAAACATCATGGTTTTTAAGAAACCTTATTTTTAAATCACCTAAGTCAATACGAGAAAAAAAATCCTTATTTCCAATGGCAACATGTTTGTACAAGAGGGTTTTTTAGTGGGGCGGTCTGAGTACAGCAAGTGCACAGCAGCGTCCCAGCTGGGATTTGAACCCACGACTCTCTGGTCTCAGGAGCATAGCCCTAACCACGCCTCTGCATTATTATTGTTTACACTCTCAGTGTTTGAAACACTGAGGGTACAACCTACCTGCCCCGTTTCTTCCACCTCTTGCATCAAAAGTGTCCTAGAATTGTTTGAATTTCACGTGGTTTGACTCAATTTTATGTCAGTGAGAACGACTCCAGTTTCCAGCATTGTGCAGCCTTTACATCGCTGTAATTATCTGTTCTTTTCATTGTGTGCTTGGCCACAATGTGTGCAGCACTCGGATCCTAATTATACCTCCTCAGAATTAATAACCCCGGCTGTGCCTCTGCCTCGGGCACAAACGCTTCACGTTTATTCGCCGTGAAACCATGAATCCACAACAGTTGATCTGCCTTGCCTGTATTCAGACCCACTCCGATAAAGAAGAATTTAAGAAACAAAAGAGATTAGGAAAACAGCTGTTTAATTGCTCAAAGGAGGAGTGCTGCAGAGTGTTTTGCACAGGTGAATTGGATATTTGGATAAGATATGCCAATAAAGGGTTTATTACACCGTAGAACTGACAGAGTGGAACTGCTGTTGACAAGCTGTCTTTCAGCTCCCTGGAATAATTAATTGGAAACTGTTTGAGTATGATACAGTGAATTAAGTCAATTTCCAACTCATTATGTTTTGACCTCAAAACACTGTTGTAAATTGCATGTATTACCAGGAAAGGTCTTAGCAGTGAGGCCATGCCAGTGTCTGTTATTAACTGAAAATTGTTTCTCCTCGTAAAACCTGGAACGGTTCTGCAAGATGCTTTGATATTCGGCTATTGCAGGTAAACCCCAATCTTTTGGGGGGGAATCTTTCCAAAAGTGACGCAGCACACGCTGTAAATTCTAAATCAGTTCTGGCCTCTTCATGGAGGATGGTTGCTGCTTCCATGGAATTGATTGTAAAGACAACAATCAGGTTCACGTTTAACTTCCACGTGGTTACAATGTCTTTCATTATCCTAAAGCTTTTAAATTCTTTTATATGCATGCGAAATGGACATCTGAGCTACAGGCGCACCATTTGCACAGTGTTTTCAGAAGGATAGATGTAGAAGGCGGAACAGATTGCTGCAGGGGTTACAGCTCTGTCAGTCCTCACTGTGCTGTTCTGGTGTACTCTTGGGACGGAGCTCTGTGTTTTTACCCCCCACTCCCCTCTTTATCTTCTAGTCGACCTGCCCCTGTATTTCCCCCGGGACCAGCCCACCCTCACCTTCCAGTCCGTCTACCACTTCACCAGCAGCGGGCAGCTCTACTCCCAGGTGCAGAAGTCCTACCCTTACAGCCCCCGCTGGGATGGCAACGAGATGGCAAAGAGGGCCAAGTAAGACCGCCAGCTCCTCCTCTCTCCCTTCGCCATGCTGGTCTGGGAGCGCTCCAGGGCAGGGCCAGACACAGCACGGAGGGGGTGCTGTGTGCGTGGCACCACAGTTTCACACCGTCTCACGCCCCTCACACCTGAATCGGCTCATGACCGAGTTAGTGTGCCAGTTTATCTGCTTCTTCCAGCTCTTCGGGAGCAAACCTGTAGGATTGAGGATCCCTGCTGTACACCGGTTAATCAACCGTTAAATCAACTAGTTGATCTCTTTTTATTTTAGACGGCACTCTTTCACAGGGCCTCCCCCTTATAAAGCCATCTAACAGAGGGACACAGCAAATACTCAGTCTGAGAGTGATACTGAACATGCAAACCACTATTCACATTTACACTAAATGGTGAAAAACAATAGCGGTTGCCTTCAGGCTAATTAACCACCGCTCGGTGTTTCGGTTTCTTGTTCTCTGCCGCCACACCCTCCCTCCTGTCCTGCTGAGACATTTCCTCTTCCCTCCGCGGTGCTGTGCAGGTATTGCTCCCAGCGTTCTCGCCAAGCATTCCAGCTTCTCCACACGCTCAGTGGCAGGTTAGGCAGGCAGATATCACAAGCAAGGGACAAGAAGAGAGTCACTGTTGGAGTTTGAGTCACTCGTTACAACTTTGGCGTTTTTTTTTTCCACCATTCTCCTGTAATGGAAAGTGGAAAATGACAGAGGGGGGGGGACTTGTGATTTACAGTAATTTCTGTTCCAGTTTTGACACGAATATGGAAAATGTTCTGAAAGTCTTCTTTGCCTTGCCTGTGTTATTGACAGTTTGTTTGACTGCTGATTGCTGACTTTAAACAAATACAGACGTTTAAGGGCACTGCGGTGACCTTGCTAACCCTGACAGCCACTTTAAAATTCAGACGGGTCGCTCCTGAAGCAGAAGGCCCACAGGCTGCCAGTTTAGAGCTGCATTGACTCATTCTTCAGTCCTGGTCCTCACTCATTTCCCCAGTCCTGGTCCTAGAGGGCCAGTGTGTCTGTAGGTCTTCTAAGTCTCTCTGAAGCGGCAGCACCTGAAGAGCCGGGAGAAGCTGGTAAACCAGTTCAATTAAGCCAATAATGAGCTCATTAAGAGCCCAGCTGGAGCGAAAACCTGTAGAGACACAGGCCTTCCAGGATCAGGTATTGGAGACCCCTGGCAGATAAATTGACAAATGTGTGTTAATGAGGTACTAATAATACAGGTTCAAATGGGGAGCTGTGTCAGCATGCTTTGGTTGCAAAGGAAAGAGCAAATGTCAATTCCGCACAAGACAGGAAGAAAAAAGCACAACATTATGAATTATAAGCCTTTCTCAGGTGTGCCCATCCGAAAAAGGTGAAAAATTGAAGGTGTAATTTACCTTCAGTTGTTCCTTTCTACTAATAATACGGCAAGGATATTTTGATCATGAGAAATCTGTTGTTAATGTTAATTATAATGTAAATCATTAAAACATTGATGAATGGCACACAATTACTATTATGCAGATGTGTTATAAGCAGTTATAAGCAACTGATAAATGGCGTTGAAATGGTATAGAACCCTAGAAAATTATTTTAGAACTAATTTTAGAGCTCAGTGTGCTGCAGTAGTTTTAGTGAACTTCTAACCCCCTGTTTCTAGATCGTTCCGAATCAACCTGTGATCGCTTAACAAACACGGCGGCGTGAGAGCTGTGCAGGGAGGCTGGTCGGGTTTTGCTTTCACTTTGGCAATAACACCTCTCTCTCCTCCTGCTCTGACAGGGCCTTCTTTAAGAGCTTCATCCCTCAGTTCCAGGAAGGGGCGTTCGCCAGCGGGAAACTCTAGAGCACCTGGAGCAGCAGAGACGAGACGACGCGGAGCAGGGAACTGTCCGTCCTGGGGAACCAGGCTGTGTGGGGCAGTAGCTGAATGCAGCACACATAGGGATGGTTCAGATTTTTAAAAATGGCTGACGTTGTCAGGCCCACATTGGACCTGTTAATGTTGTTTTTCTGTTAGTTTATTGTTTTTGTCTTAAATTCAATGTCAGGTTTAGGAGAGTTGTTATTAATGCAGTCTTTAGGAAAATGTGGAATCATTGCTTGAGAAGACTGGAATATACAGTATGTACATATCACTGGGATCTGCACAATCTTTTTTTCCCCTCTCTTACTGCACAATCGTCTCTCCAGCTATGGTTTTATAAAGCTCAGTGAATGCTGGTGAACCAGTGTTCTGCATGCGCTGGACAGCTGCTTTAAAAACAGTGTGCACGTTTGTGAAGGCCGATGTACTCCACGTGTCCTCTGTGTGAAAACTATTGAAATAAAGGCAGCGTCTTTGGTCAATGTGCTCCTGCAGGACTTGGGTTTTTTTGAAGACGACACGCCAGCCCTTCCCCTCCTTAAATCGCAGCAGAATCACTTCGAAAATCACAGACAAAACAACCTGCATTGTAGATGATATGCTGTCTGCACAGGTTCAGATCCTCAGATAGCAAAATAAAATCACCAGTGATCATACAAGAAGAGCTTCAGAGGTCACAGCACATTCACAGTTTTTTGCGTTGCAGCTGCACGAAGGAAACTCTTTGGGAACTGGCCAGGCACATATTAGCATTCAAAAGCTTGAACAGTGTCTGCAGGTAAGCAGTGGTCCACCCTCACCTTCCAGTCCGTCTACCACTTCACCA